ATAGCAGTCTTCTTACACTGAGCTACTAAGAACTGACTTACTAGTGCAGAAAGATATTGTCTAGCTCACATTTGCACTCCTCTTCTTTTCATATATCTTCTTAGAAACAGAGGACAGAAATGAACACCCTCCTTCTACTCATCTATGCCTTTATAACCAAGTTTGCCTTCTGCATTGGTCTCTTTGAATGAAAGGACAGAAAAAGCAAGAACTGCAGCAGTTTGTAACACTCTGCAGGCAGCGTCAGTTTAATTTATACTGAGTAGCTGATGCTGAAGATTTTTCCAACAAACAGTCATCAAGGGATGATCCAATCCTGATACCTGCACGAAGGCATCTGAGACTCAGCTCAGTTGTCCCACATATAGGTGTCCAGTGCTGCTAGAGGTGTCTCAGGTGAAGTGAGAAATCCCATGGCAGGTGACACAGGACCTATGAAATACTTGAGCCCCTCTAGAGCAGCAGCTGGGGAATATCAAAGGTCTCTAGATACCTCTAATGGGAAACTCAATTGAGTCTTCAGTGTCTGTAAAGAAACACAAGTAATACTAGTTTTCTCTAGTTGTAAAGCACAGAGATAACCTTATTTCTTAATTTATGTGATCTGTGTATGATGACAGGCTGTTTTGCTCCCTCCTAATTGTTTTAGCATTTGATTGCAATACATATGCTCTTCTTTCAATAGCAGATCTTAGATTGCTCTAAACAAGTTAATTATATTTCACAACACCCTTGTGCATTAGGGAAGTATTAATATTCCCGTTTTGCCGTCAAGGAAAAAGGAAGGAAAAGAAAGGGTAAGTGGCTTACTGAAGGTTAAACGGTAAGTCAGTGGCAAAATCTGAAGAGGAATTCCAGACTCTCAACCACAGAATTGAATTCCCCACAGACCACTAACTCCCATGTTAAATGTAAGGATGATAATAAATGCATGGTTTTAGGGTTCCAAACTGCAGAAAGCCATCCTACACAAACGATGTCTTTGTGAAAGGACACAGGAACTTGTATCAAAACTTCAGAGTTCCAAAAGGTCAGTGTAGAGATAAACATCTACCTGGAAATTCAAAAGGCTTTGACATTCATATCACTGCAATGACAGCAAAAAACTGCAGGCATGAAGGATGGGACAAGGCTGAACTCCATTTTCTGCCTACTACGAGCATCACCAAGATAGACATCCTTCCCTTGGAAAAGACATCTCACCATCACCCTGCAAGACAGTCATGCTTGGGGATAATTTCTGAGCATATTGGAAACAGTCTCATCTACCCTTCTTTTCTACAAAGAAACAGCAATTTTAAGCAGATAATTCATGGGGGTAAAAAATTGATATTGCTGTAACATCCAGATGTCTCAGTTAGGATGAGGGACCCACAGTGTTTTAGGTACTGTATAAGAATATATGTGCAAAGAGATTATAAGCCATTTTAAGCATGGACAACAGGTGGGTGTAAAAAACAGCAGGAGGAATGCAGGAAAGAGGGGAGATGAGAACAATAATTACAAGAATTAATGTCTTCATATGCTGCTATAAACCCAATCTTATATTCTGAAAAGTATAGATGGGATTGTATGAGGTATGAAACTAAAAATCTGGTCTTTCACTGATTTCAGTTATTATTGCTTTACCTGAATTGCACCAAATGGGAGAAGCAAAAATCAGTGATAGGCAGATCAAATGTTTTATGATTGTGTATATCCAGGCTGATTCCACCAGTAAGGCAAATCACAGGTTTGTTTTTTAAAATGTAAGGCCAGGTAGTGTGAGATCCTGTACCCCTACTCGATGTATCCAACTCCCCCTAAAACATTCTTGAGGTGCCTGCTTGGGTCTTTTACTCATTTCTTACCCCATTCACTCACTGTATATGAATAGTATGGTTTTTAATCTATATATATGAGTTTCTAGGACATATTTCACATTGGATTGTTAGGGACAAGTTCTAGTGACTTTTGCCATGGAGTTTGATCTGTTTGTTAATGGGATTATATAGCTTGATTTCTTGGGATAGTAGGGGACTTCACTGGAGGAATCTGGACCCTATATACTTCCAGGTTTATGAAATATTTGGTTTATCTAGAAAACACACGCAGCATTTACAGGGAACACACAGATATACCCTATACCAAAGACAAGTGGAGATACTACACAACAGGATAAAAACACAGTTTAGTCTCCATGCCCTGTTCATTCCAGTTTAATGGCTGAGAAATCAGCCTCCCATTAGCTATCTGTCAGACACCATCCCTCATGTCAATTCTATTCTTTTAAACCTGTTCTCTCCACAAGTCTTTCTATGGTATATTGATCTTTGCTGACATGAACTGAGAATACCAAGTTTATGCCAGATGAAAGCTACCAGCAGACTCTAATCTATTTATCTATGTTAATATTTATAGTTCAGTCAGCATTATGGAGTTTGAGCATTAATTCATTTCAATGACTATCATTCTGACCTGGGTTCAAACCAGCAACATCATCGGTCCCAAGCCAGCCATATCTCCACAACAGGGGCCCTGGCCTTTAGAAATGTGTATAGTTTCTAGAAAACATTGCCTGGAATAATCAGATCTGAGCAATCTTTGAGATACCATTGCTCCCATTTACATCGTTGGACTGCTAGCTTGCCTGCCAGGAACATCAGTTGATATAGTTCGAGTACTGTTAGCACAAGTTAGCACAATTCCTACTAGACAAAACTGTGGAAACTGCACGTTCTGTCTGACGACCAGAACAGGGCACAATCATACAATATGCACTGAAATGAGCCTGGTATTTGTGTGTAAACATTAACTGGACATGAGCTCTGCTTTTAATACTTAGGACTCTTTGTATCCTTGCACCACCAGCTTTCTACATGTTGATCTTTGTATCTGAGAAAAGCTACTCCATTTCTTAACTCCAGGGATATCACACAGGATGCAAAACATAACATCATTCTTCCCAGGTACATGCAGAGAACAGACTACGTATGTGACTGTAAATCAAATTCATTTTAGGGCTTTAAGTGATTTTGTGTAGATCTTTGCTAACATTTATATCTACATAAATATATTTTCATTTCAAAAAGAATGGAACTCTGATCTACCTTGTCTTCTACCCACACCACTAATTGTTCAGTGGGACTATGTGAGTACAATGTCATTGCACTGTTCCTCTACTGGTTAAAGGATTGGGCCTTAGACAACTTCTCCTTACCAATTTGTCTTTTTCCATTCCACCAAATTTTATCTATTTCCTGAGTCCCTTGGAGAATTAGAAATTAACATTTTTTGCTTCCTTCCTGGCTATACATTAGCATCCTTGCTGCCTGGCTAATGAAGTCAATACACTGAGGGGAAACAACAGGTAGGATTCTGCAGTCCTTAGCAGGGATTCAGCTTGGCAGAGAGGAAACCTGCTGGGTTTGAGGTCTTTTACCTGTTACAGTACTCTATGGTTTTGGGCACATTAGTAAATTGTGACCAACCACCTGTTGGATCCATACGCTTTAAAGCTGATTGCCAAGCAAAGGAGCTGCATACAGAATGCCATCAGTACAGCCTCCTGTATGCCTTGTCAGGGGAAGGGAGGAAAAGCCTTTTTGCATTAAAAGGCATTTTGCAATACATCATAAAATGAATTAAAATGAAGCAACAGCAAACATATATTCAGAAAAGTACCTGGGAAGAGCAAGTTTTCACCACACAGAATTTTGACCCTAGGATAAGGCATATACTGTTATTAAAATAATCAAATCTCTGTTAGCACTACTATCCATGTGTTCATTGTGAAGCTGAGGGCGGAGGAGGCCGATCTGTCAATTTCAGCCTTCACCTAATTAAAGATGTAGTAAGGCTTAAACTAAAGCTTAATTGTGTATACTATTCAAACAGCACAGCAGATCTGCTCAGCAGAAAGTTGTCTGTTCTGCTGTATTCCTTCTACACCAGAAGAAACTGTTTCTAACGTTTCATTTTGTAGACGTGAGGGCACAGAGGATGACAGACAAATTGACCACTAAAACCAAACCTGCAGAATACAGATGAATAATCAAAGCCTGTGCTATCACTTCATACTTCCTGCAAGCACTGCTGTACAGCGACTGGCTGCCAGCAGTTCTGCTGCAAACCTGAGCATATGGCTTCAAGTTGCTGTGCTCCTGTACTGATGCACAGAAATATGACACACCAGTACACAAATTACCAGTAGGGTTTTTTTCAGTCACTTCTTCTGTAGGTTGCATATGAACCTCCTCCCTATGCCAGGAAAGGAGAGCATTTCATTATGGTTTATTTTAAAACACCACTTGGATCGTTTTATTGAAAACCACTGCACTGGCGTAAATCTCCATCCACCATCACACAAACACACTCCCCAAGACAGACTCCAAACCTAACTATAGAGTTAATCAAACTATCCACTCGGGCCGATCAATTCTTAACAGGACAGAGTAAAGAGTCTAAAGGTCCCTTTGAGGTCCATTATTTAATGTGTCTTTTTATACCATCCACACTACGGGTTATATTGCTGCAGCATTTTGCTCCAGTTGCTTGCCAACAAACATTTGCCATCAAGGAGCCCTGAGCAAGCAGTCACATCTGTGTCCATTCCTGTACCACCCATTTAGCAGAGACAATGATCACTAGAAACAACAAAGGAGCCACAGATAAAACAAACAATGCTGTGAGCCAGAGATCACTGCCATCCCAGGCAAGTTTGCCATGGAAATATTCAAGAAAAAGGGAGGGGAGGGAAAAGAGATATCAAATATAGAACTATAAAACTTACACCTAGAAGAGGTTTTACCCATGCACCCACCCAACCCCACATCTGAGGAGCATTTTCTAACACACTGCTAGGATCGAGCAAGAAAGACTGAACAGTGCACATGGGAAGCAGACAAGCATCAAACACCTCCTCCCATTTGGAGTCAAATAGTCTCCTACGAGTCACTAGACACAAGGAATAATAATAACTGTTATTCTTATAGTCATGATAGTAATAGAGAATCACCAACCTTGAGGATCCCAGTTGACCTGTTTTCTTGGAGTCTCGATTGGAAATTTCATCGCTTCCTTTTTGCACAGGGAGGAAAAAGAATTAAATAAATTCCCAACCTTCCTGTCTCAATGCTGCAGTCAAACAAATTAATTTCAAATTATAGGGAGCCTGCGCTGTTTGACTGAGGGGAACTGGTGGTTGCCAAGGAAAGAAATACACAAATAAATCAAAGAAGGTGGGGAGGGGCGGGGAGGGGAGTGGAGTGGAGGGGTTTGTACCGGCGAGGTGAGGAGGGGTGCAGGCACCCCAGCAGAGAGAGCGGGAGAAGGGACGGAGTGAGGACCGGAGAGGGTCTGGGGGGGAGCGGGAACGAAGCAGGCTGAGATGGGCAGTGGGTCCAGGGAGCTGCTGGCTCCTGGGGAGGCTCCCGCAGCTGGCTCGCCCAGTCCACCTGCAGATGTCAGAGTGGCGGGGTCCCCGCTGCAGCTCGGCCCCTCTGCTGCGCCCACCTGAAGGGGCACCCGGGCTGGCGAGCCCGCAGGCTTGAGGGATCGGGGAGTCAGCCAGCCC